GATAGTCTCCCTTAGAATATTGAATACAGCTTGAAGTTACTGAAGAAGTCCACCTAGGATAGCAGGGACCTCTGCTTCTGCCAAAAGTGTAGCTACAATAGAAATTCAATAACTGAGCCTAACACCAGTCATTCAGTTGTTGCAAATTATTTCTTCCAGGGCGAGTACGCTGGACTGCTGTCTCACTTTCACGGAGGGCCTAGATGTTCCTGTCACCTTTTAATTCTTCTTAACTGGGGAAGCATTTAATCTTGAGTCAGTCTGAAACTTAGAACACACTGCTTCAGTGTTATATGGGAAGCCATCCTCTTAGTTTAATCAACAACTAAATTATAAGGCAAATAGTACTCCAGAGTCTATACACTATCACATCTTGAGTTATCATTTGATGTGCTTCCCTCTAGCCTGAGCTAGTGGAACAAGAATGGGTGTCCTGGGCAGAAACTCCTACAGGGCATCCACTGGGGAAAGAAGAATGAGTCCTAGAAGTCATAAGTGCACATTGGAAATGAGGAGGTAGAGTCGTTAGAGAATCTTCGAGTTGCCTTTATTTTCATATGCATTATTCAGAAGTCTTAGCAGCTCTCAGTATAATTTGTTTTATGAAATATATTAGGTATTCAATGTAGCTGTTTTCAGGTTTATTCAATATTCTGATTCTGATTCATGAAAATATTCCATTAAATGCAATCGCTCATGTAATTACTTTGCTTAATCTACAGCATACTTTAATTAACATTGCACAGAATTCTGATTTAATCAATTAGATTTGATCTAGTATAACTTAGCTGTAAATACTTTTTATGATGCAGCAGCCCAAAATAATTATCAAGGGCTAAGGTAATATACGACACTACCTAAAACTAACAAATTTCCTATGTTAAGAAAAGTAAATCCTAATTTGAACTATAATTTTTATCATTTAAAAAAGTAAACTATAAAGAGTAGATCATTCTGTTTCCATTAATAGCCTATTAATCTCACAGGGAGTGTTAGAACTTAAAAAAATGTGCTTTATTTTTGCGTCTATTCCCCAACAGCTAGCATTGAGAACAAAAGATTAAACTCAAGCAAGATTCACCACTTTCTGATTTTGTAAATAAAGTCATTAACATCAATATCTCATAATATTTGTTTGTTCTTATGGGTTGAGTTTTTTCCATTCCAAAAAAGATATGTTGAAGTTCTAACTCCCCCAGTAGTTTAGAATGTGACCTTATTTGGAAATAGGGTCATTGCAGATGTAATTAGTTAAGATGAGGTCATACTGAAGTAGGGTGAACCCCTACTCCATTGTTGCTGGTGTCCTTGTAAGAAGGTGGCCATGTGACAACACAAAGGCACACAGGGAGAAGGCCACGTGAGAGGAAGGCTGAGTTTGAAGTTGTGCAGCTACAAGTCAAGGAACACTAAAGGTTGCTGGCAACTGACCAGAAACTAAGGCAAGGCAAGGCAAGATTCTCCTCCAGGTTTCAGAGGGAACATGGCCCTGCTGACACCTTGATTTTAGACTTCTAGCTTCTAGAACTGTGAGGCAACAAATTTCTGTTGTTTTAAGCCATCAACATTTGTGGTACTTTGTTATGGCAGACCTAGGAAATGAAACATTCACTAAAACTAACTTGAGAACTACCACTCAACATAACCAGGATCTATAAAATTATTTTTAATAATAGTGTGTGTGGGGGGAAGTATCTTGCTAAACTATCTTCCAAATGCAGGTGCTGTTTTTAGTTTGAAGTTAACTTTCACATTCCTAAGCAAGTATTGACACAGATATAACACTTTTTGTTGCTAGCACCCCTCTTCACACACAGCACCTAGCAGGGTGCCTTAAACATAAATCATCCAACAGTACATTTTGTGGCTTAGTTTAAAAAGATTAAAAATGAAAATAGCCTATAAATATTAAAATACCCACTTATAGAACTTGAGCTGTAAAATATATACAGTGCTACTGCAATGTGAGAGTAATCATTGAGAAGAATTTACATGAGGTTCATCAAGGCAAAATTTCATCTTGAATCTATATATGGATGATAAAGAAACTATATACCCAGCTAGTTTGTGGATTATTTAGATTTTATATTTTCTGTTGCCCTCATTCTGACTTTGAAAAAAATACTTTTAGCACCTTCACTATGTGAAGGGCAGGGAACAATAAAATAATATAAATTTAAGCTCTTGGTATTAACTTGCTAACAGATCTTATTACTTAGGGTATGGAATAGATGAAAATTAAAAATATAACAAAAAATGAATTTTGAGAGTTGTCTGTAAATCCTTTTTTCCCACCCAAACATTCGAGAGTTGGTTATTTGGTTGTTACAGGGGTGATAATGTTTGATGGAAAGGCATCAATAGACACCAGCGAAGGACCTGGACAGAGACAGCTAACAGGACAGGGGCTAAGCAGCAGGTTCCCAATCAAAGGGAAAAGTTTTCTGGCCTCAAGGGTCCATGAAGGCCACCCGATGACACCAGTTGATTGTGTGTATCTTTGTCAGGTCCTTTGAGTAGCAGCATCTTCCCATTTTTGAGGGTCTTCATAAGCCTCTGGCCCTCCTGGTTGATCTGGACACTTTGGCTTTTGCTTGTCCTGTGGGTAGAAATAACTAGCATAAAACAACTCCCCACCCCCAGATCATTTCTGAGCATTTCCTGCCAGATGGGATGAATTGCAGTGTAAATTCCCAGGTGTACTGTTCCTTTGCAGGACTGAGCCTCAAACCTGCCTGAGAACCATTCCTGCAAATGTATAATTGAGACTACAAGATAACAAGATGAGTGAGATTCATAAAACATAGACCAAACTAGCATTTCCTGATGGTCCACTATATTTTAGGTTCTGTTAGGCATTCCATATAATCTCATTTGACATTTCTTTTAATTTTGATTTTATTTTTTTATTGAAACAATGTACATTTATAAACATAAAAAAGACTTGGTGGTGAGTAGTTGGGAGTTTGTTTTAAATAAAGATCTTCCTTTAAAAGGAATATACTCTTTGTTTGATAGTTTTCATAATTAAAAAAATAAAACCAGTAAAATAACATGACAAGGCTTATCTTCTGCTGCATCCTTCCTTACTCACAATTCCTTCTATTGGTCCAATAACTTTTAATCTTTCAAATTATTTCTTCTAGCATTTTCTTTCTTATTTCTAAGTAACATGCCTATAATGATATTTCTTTTCTTTTTCCCAGTTTCAGATGTTGTCTGTGGACTTCCCACTACGGCAGACGAGGATTTAGGTTTCCTATACGCGCTCCTCTCGCATACATCCTTCCTCCTAGCCTTCAATACATTTACATATATCACAGTTTTTGGTTAAGTCAAATTACTTTAACTATACAACTATTACTTATAGCTAAGTCACATGGTAAACTATGATTATATTTCTTCTTTTGTATAACTCATTGCTTTTACCAGAGTTAACAATTGCACTTTTTTTGCTTGCTTCGTTTCTGTACTTTTATTACTAATTGTGATATAAGTAAAATTTTCTGATATGAGTAAAACTTGCCTCTGAACAGGTTGAAGTGTTCTGTTTCATTTCATCAGGAGTCTTCCAGTCCTCCTCCCCCTATTCTGGGCTAGTTGTGCCTTAAGCCTGGCACACAGCTGTCACTGGGACTTTTCCTTTCACCATTACCTTGAGATTTTTTCCAGACCCTCCTCCCATGTGGGATTTCCTGTTTTCTGGGATCCTATCTCTTTCTCTTGGTTTACTTGCTCACTTTGGTAGCGCATATCCTTCAGGAGATTCCTGAGAAAGGTAAAGAGTTTAGGACCTCAATTTTATGAAAATGTCTATATTCTACCCTCACAATTCTTTGATCTTTTTGCTGGGTGTAGATTTTTAGGATAGAGTTTTTCCTCAAAACTCTGAAGGCATTTCTCCATTGTTCTAGCTTCAGTGGTGCTGTGGAGAAGTTTCATGCTACTCTAGTCCTCATTCCTTTGTGATCATTTTGTTTTCTCTCTAGTTTTTAGGTTCCTCTTTTCATCCTGGTGTTCATGATGCGTCTTGGTCAGATAAATTCTCTGAGAGGATTTGTATTTTCTTCTACCAAATTCTTGGAAGGTATAACCAATCTAGGATTAATCTGAATTAAATTCTTGGCTAGAGGTTTATCAGACCATTTAAATAGTCTGAATTAGGGCCACAGACCTGAGTGAGGGCTACTTGTGGTTCCAAATTCTCAGTGGCAATTTCTCCCCCTCTATTCTTGCCAAAATTTGAAATAGTCACTTTTCCTTGTGGCCCATTGGAGGCAGCATGGGGCTTCATTTGTAATTTACCCTTACGCTGAAGCTAGAGCCCTTGGGATCCCAGAATTCTGGTAGGAGGAGACTCTGCTATTCGACTTCCCACTGTGGGGCAGCCCTGGGCTTTGTTCTCTGTTCTCATTCTCTAAAATGCTGTGAAAATCAGGGTCTGCACTCAACTGGTTTAACTAATGCCCTCAGGATAACAGTGTCCCACTTATCTTTTTAGGTTCCTGCCTCTACTCAATGCCTGGCCTGAGATTTTCTTACTTTTTTGTCTGATGTTTTAAAGATGATTTAAAAAATTATATTTTGTCCAAAAGTTATAGTTTAGATACTTATCCTGTCATATTCCTGGAAATGGAAGTCTATATTACCTTTCTAAGCCACAATTTCCTCATTTGAAAAATGAGGATAATAGTAGTATCTACCTCAGGTATTTGAAGAATAAGTGAGATGATTAGTGTAAAGCTCTTAGCACTGTATTTGGCACCTCAATCACTCTTTTTTTTAAAGTGGTATTCTCAGAGGCTAGCCATAAGTGCTCTTTCTTGTTAAATTTCTATAGGTATTTGGTGCGCTAATGCCAGGGAATAAAGATATGAATAATATGAGGTCTTGGTAAGTTGAATACTTATTATAATATTAAGCAATATAGTTCTTTCCATTTCAAATATTTCCATTTCAAATGAGATCCAAGTGATTAAACATCATTAGTAGCCTAGATCTTAATTGAAAACATGAGATTTATTGAAGCAAAATCCTCAATTTGTACATTTCTTGAGACAAAAGAATTTAAAAATATCTCCTCCCCCCTTAATCAAATAAGACTCTAAAGGGATATAAAATGGATGCTTTCTCTTACAACAAACTAGGCTAAGCTCTCTCTCTCTCTCTTTTTTTCAATCATTTTTTATTGCCACAGAGAGTTGAATTGCATGAGAAGGTCCTTTTGAAGTCCACACATATGTTCACTCTAAGCAGTTGTCTTTCTCTTTACGTCAATTTCCACCCATTGCCACATAGCTCTTGCACAGTATCAGTTCTTTCTCTGGCAGTTGACCTGACTCTTGGGCCATCTCAGGGACACTTCTTTAGTAGGTGCATTGTGATATTCTTCACAGCCAGCATGGTCTCTGTACAGGTGGGTTTGATGAGCATCTCTGGGAGTAAAAATCCAAAGTGCCCAGTGTCACGCAGTTCAAAAGCAAATGTGTAGGGTATTCCATTTTTGTAGGCCCAATCCATTGAGCTACCAGAGCTCACATCTAAAAGTTGAAGAAAAAAAAAATTTCAGTCTCGCTAAAGAGTCTGTATGTTTTCCAAAATATGTATATATAGAACTTGCCTACTAAGCCAAACGAAATCCTTCCAATTAAATACTGTTTCAACAAGAATGATTTAACAGTAGTTCCTTGGCATCAGGCTCATGGAACTTATAAAGCACGCCTGCTATCATCTTTGAGGATCTAGTTTAAGTATTGGTACTTTTCCAGGATAATGACCTCAAAATTTCTCAGCCTCAGTTCCAGTTATCTCCACCCTTACTTTATTTACCTATAAACAAACCCACACCTGGACTTTATCACTCAGTCCTTTGCCACTTCCAAGGTCTAGAATATTGAAATTCTTTTCCCAGAAAACTTCCTCATTTCTTCTACTTCCCCTATGTTTTCACTCCTAACAAACTTGTTCTTTACCTTTGCTTAAGTTTGTAGTTTCCAGACTCCTCCCAGCCTTCTTATAACTTCATTTGACTGTCTACCTGGCCATGGTCAATTACTGAATTTCTCACCAGACTCTTAAAATGCCTTATCCAGTCCTTTTTCTGCTTTTGTTTTGCTAATTCTCAATCCTTGGCTCAGTTTCTCTGCTCGCACTCCTTGTGAAGGAGCAGAAACAAAGTCTTGGCTGTAAATTCACACTAGTCACTGAAGTCTTTCTTTGTTCCCAAGGCTGCTCTAGGCTCCTTTTTCTAGACCTTTACATGGTGACCCTTTCTCATGCTCTTCTAGTCCTGTCCCTCACTTTACCACTGTCCCCATACTCATAATGGGTAATTAGCCCATCACCTCCTCTACTGACATCACAGCTCTCTGACTTTTCTCCTTCTAGCCCAGAGGAAGAAATGTCGCTCGCCTTTTACGTGTGTCATCTTTTGATACCGTTTCTTATTGTCTTCTCTTGTAGTGAGAAGGTCCCTTCTCCAAGACCTCGTTTCATTAATTAAATCTCCCTTTCTTGCATCTGCATTGACCAAAAGTTTCAAGCACTGCTTTCGTATAGCGCTTCCTTCTCCTGATCCTGCTACAGGCCATCCTCTTTTTCTTTGTTTTGCTTTGTAACTCAATAGGGAATCTATATATGTTGCTTCTACATCCTCACCCACTTTCATTCTGGTTCTTGCCTCTATCCGTTTATGAAAACTTTGTTCTTGAAGGTGACCAAGGACAGCAGGCCTAATCTCCTTTTTTGTTTTTTCCTTCTCTCAGATCTCACTTTCAAACTCTCAATAGCATTTAATCTAGCTGACAATCCATTCTGGCAACGCTCCCCTTCTGGTTCCTCTGACATCACACGTTCCAGCTTTTCAGCAGAATTGAAGGTGAGGGCATTAGAGGTAGACTGTGGTTTGGGTCGTATCGGATCTCACCACCTATTGTGACTTCTCTGTGCCTCACTTTCTCCTTTAGAAAAAGAGATAATACCTACTACATAGGGCTGTTGTGAAAATTAAATGAAATAATGTGCTCAGGATATATTAGCTATTATTATTTTGTATCTTTATACTCCAAAGTGCCTAGTATATAATTTTTAACCTAACATGCTCTTAATAATTACTTAATAAATAAATGTTTCATAGAAGGCTCTTATTATACTTTTTTCCTGAAATTTGTATGATCCAGTTTGACATAACATTATCATTTTTAAAAAATTTTCTCAGTACGTTCATCTACTCAAATAATATCTCTTTTTATGCTATTTTTGCCAGGACAAGCTAGAGATAGAATTATTATGTGAAGATGACAATTAAATGACTCTGCTGTTTCTCAGGCTAAGGACAGAAGGCAGGCTGTGCCTTCATTGTCCCTCTGGTTTAGAGTACACTGGAACTACAAATAGTAGTCATAGTAGCCGAAGTCAGAGACAATATGTGCCAACAGTTACATCATGGTGATGTGACAGACTCATTTCTATGGTAACACGTTGTTCTAGGTAAATATAATGCAATGACTATGCCTTGATTCCAAGCTGAAAATGTGAACTGTAAGAATTAAAATTAATGTCTTAAAATTGTTAGTATATATTATGTTGGTGTTAACTGGTAATGTGATTTCTTTTAATACTATATTTCCCCTTTCAGGGTGGCTCTCTTGAAAAACAGCTCTAATAAGGTCATGAAACCAATGATCATAGTCTTTGAAAAGAATTCTGATATTTAAGACATTCTCATTATTAGGATAATAATGTTAAACAATGTTAATTGACAAACCAAGCTTTTCTTCTGAAGGCTGAAGAAAGAGAGCGTTTAGGAATATAATGATGGATGGATTAAAGAAATCGAGGAGAAATTTGCTACCTCACTGAAAAACACAATTGGATGTTACTATCCCTACATATACCTATCACTTGTGTGTGTAAACCTTCAAATGCATACACGGACACTCAACTATGATTTCTCACTATATTTTCCAACCGATTAGTCAATAACTTTTAGAGTTTGAAAAGTCATGAGAAGTGATCTAGTCCAATTCCTCATTTAATAGTTTTGGAAACTGAAGCCCAGGATTAATATGTTGACTAGATAACAACCTGACTAGTGGCAGAATTAGGACTCGAATCAAGTCTCCTGATTCTTTGTCCAAGTTCTTTCCATATATCCTGTTGCTCTTTATTTCATATAAATATTTTAATCACTTTTTAGGGGAAATTCAGCTGAAGGTGTTATGAAATAGAATTTCATAACAAGAATGGCGGCGGAAAGGAATAAAAGGGAAACTCTTTTAGGGCTGAAACATTACTTCATTATCTTCTCAAGGCCCATTTCCACCCTTACAGTAGTTACAATTGCTTACGGAGCCCGTTGTGGTACTTTCTACTGTTATGAGATCTCAATTCAACCTTGTAGTCATCACCACATGCTTAGAATATTCACTGCTTAGAATTTATTTAACTTAGTACAGTGATTTCTGTCAAGCAGAGTAAAACTAATCAGGTATAAACTCCCTCCATCTTCCTTGGCTAATTTGGCAGTCAAAAATTTCACTTTAGGAGGAACACACTTTCTCTTTTTTTTTTAAACAGAAGTCGTTACGTAGGATATTGGTTCAGGAGATGATTCTAACACAACATCCACAGGAAACTTACACAATGTGCTGGAGGCAGGTCCATATCTATACCGTACCCCATATACTGACCAAAGTGCATTCACAGCTTTATGAGCTGCAGATTCCTGTCAGGGAAAATGGAGAATTTATATCACTGACATCATTGCATTGAGACCTTTAGAAACACTGGCATGTTATTTTAACCTTATCAGTCATCAATTTGGAGAACAAGGATGGGCACATTAGTTAATAGCTTTATTTAATAATAGTATTATGTTGGGGGTCGGCCCCTTGGACAAGTGGTTAAGTTAGTGTGCTCTGCTTCTGGCGGCCCAGGGTTTCGCTGGTTCGGATCCTGGGCATGGACATGGCACCACTCATTAGGCCATGCTAAGGTGGCATCCCACATGCCACAACTAGAAGGACCCACAACTAAAGTATACAACTATGTACTGGGAGGATTTTGGGGAGAAAAAGCAGAAAAAAAAAAGATTGGCAACAGTTGTTGGCTCAGGTGCCAATCTTCAGGAAAAAAAATGTGTTATTCTTTGACACATGCTGCATTTTGCAATATGTTTTAGAACATATTATTTCCTTTGATCCTCACATCAAACCAGTGATCAGTAATATTTCTATTTTACAAACGAGAAAAAGAAGCCTCAGCAAGGTTAAATGGGCAGGGCGGGGTTACACGGCAAGCAGTGGTTGAGTTGGGATAAGTACCCATATCTTCTGACACTGATTTAGTGTTCTATCCTCTTCACTTTAGTTCAGAGATAGCTATTTTTATAAATTACAAAATGCTTTGACAGGGCAGCGCCCATGTCAGTCTCACTCATAGCTACATATGCAGTATTTAGAATACGACTGGGTATAACAGATGGCTAATCAATGTCTCTTGCATGAATGTTGGATAAGCATAGATCTGCAAGAGTATCAAGATCATCTTATTGATCCTTAAGTACCTACCTCAGTGGCCATATACAAGATATTTGAAACACATTTGGATCAATTAAAAAAACATTTAATTCAGTAAGAATGACTTCTCTTATGCTGTGTGTTTATCCCTACTGGGAATGGGAACAGTAGTTTCAGAATGCGTCACGACTTCTGGCTGAGCTCAGTAAGGTACTGCTAAGACGTAGAAATTCGGAGGTGGAACTCTTCCTACCAATGCCAAAAATCAGGAAAAATACTCAATACAATCAAAATACTGAAAGGTCACTCTTCTCACATGAACTAGAATGAGACTGACTACCCTTGAAAACATTTTCAAATGGAATAAAAGCACTAGTTTCAATAAGGAGTTAGAGAAGTATTGTATGACCAGTGAGAGGAAAAGAAGTATGTTGAAACCAGTATACACTTCTCCCATTTCAGTTTGCCAATGAATAATTCAATATGTCAGTGGAAGCACTATGGGCAACATGGTGCTGTGTGCTGGACCCAGCTTCGGCTTGTTGTCCTCCTTCACCTCAGGCATGCAGAAAGAAGCATTTGCAGCAAATACGACACTTTGTGGATATTCAGGGACCAGGCTCCAGAACCTGGCAGACAATTTATTATTGATCTCGCTGATGATGACATTCTCCTCTCAGGAGCCAACAGAAAAGGAACGTAAACACCATAATGAGGTATCTTTATGGAGAATATTCTAAGATTTGAACATTTGCTCCAACGGTCTCGGCAATATTCCATGGCAAGGGCAGAATTTCTACATTTAGAAGATTACTGCATTCTGCTGGTGAGGAGACCTTTGTTCCTCATTATTTTAGATGACTAAACCCGAGGAAAAAATATCTATTAAGAAAAGAAAAAAGCATTTTGCCTGTTTACATAAAACATGGGCATGGTTTTAGCCCTTTGAGCCCACTGCATTTCTGTCACTCGGGTGCAGATGCATGTTGATGAGAGGTTTAGATATCTTCCTACAAAAAGCGGAAACTTCAGCAAATTTTCTAAGAATTACTTTCCAGGGTGGCACAGCTAGACACGTGTTTGAAAGAGTTTAAGCAATTCCTCCTTTCTCCATCGCTTCCTCTTTCCAAATGTCCAAAACGACCTGGGCCTCGCTTATTGGACCTCAGCTAAGTAAGGAGTATATTTTTTATTTAAATATTTCCATATTTAAAGCAACTTCATGGAAGGCCTAAAAGATGTCAGCAGAAACACAGACACCTACATATCGGTGCAATGTTTTTGAAGAATTTTTATAGAATTTAGTGGTTTCTGGTTAACATTCAGAGACTATCTAGTTTCTGAGAATTGCAATCTTGGTTTTAATGATTTAGCTTATATGTAACCCACTATCAGGATTTCTCAACAGTGGCACCACTGACGGTTTGGACTGAGTAATTCTTTGCTGTGGGAGGCTGGCTGTGCATTGTAGGATGTTTAGTAGCATCCTTGGCCTCTACCCATTAGATATCAATGGCATCTCCTACTCTTGTTGTGACAATAAAAAATGTCTCCAACATTGCCCAATGTCCATTGAGAGGCAAGTTCATCCTTGGTTGTGAACCACTGATCTACTTTTTATAGCACATCCTTCAATCCAAGACAAAAGGAAAATAGGCTTAACTCCTGGTGGAAAGGTAAATTCAAAATATGGAGAACACTCTCGTGTAATAATTTTAATATATTACATATCCCATGTAATCTGTTCTGAGACTCCAAATAGACACGTTGCTCAATTTAGAAAGGGCTGAACATTTGCCTATAGAAACATAGCGATACAAAGTGGTTAGGGTGCCAAGTCAACAGCAGCAAGCCTATTTGACCCACAGAGTATCTGAAAAATAGCACCATCAAATATAACTATCACCTTTGCAATATTTCTCAAGAGAGAATTTGCTCAGAATTCTTGCTTGGAATGCCAAGAGCAAATTTCCTCCTTTGGACAGAACACAAGCCTTTCCCCAGGCCTTCTTCCGATCTCCTCATGTTCCCTATTCCTTCCAGGGCCTGGACATCTAGATCAGGATTTCCTTCAACCACAAGCAACTGGTGCAGGATTTGGAGTTCAAGGTACAGAGAGAAAGAGGATGCTTTTTTTCTTTTTCCTGAGGAAGATTGGCTCTGAGCTAACATCTGTGCCAACCATCTTCTATTTTCTTTGTATGTGGGACACTGCCACAGTATGGCTTGATGAGCAGTATATAGGTCCGCACTGGGATCTGAACCCGTGAACCCTGGACTGCTGCGTGTGAACTTAACCACTGTGCTACTAGGCCAGTCCCAAGGATGCTTCTCTTTTATGAAAACTTTTGAATTTAAGTATAATGTACATACAGAAGAGTATACAAATTTTAAGTTTATAGCTCAATGAACGATCACAAATTCAACACACTCACGTCACCACCATCCAGGTCAAGGAATAGAAGATCAACAGCAACCCAAAACCCTCGTGTGCCTCCCCTCCCCATCACTGCTCCCTCCTCCTTACTTCTAACACTATATTTCAGTTTGGACTGGTTTTGAACTTCACAGGCCTTTAGATGCTGTAGGTTCTGAGCCAGACTCACTTTACGAGGAATTATGTCCTATGGCAAGTAGGTTGTTGGCTTTCCCAGATGAGAGAAAGGAACTCTGCTTTTTCACTTTCAAGTAATCTTATGCCTGAAAGGCTGTTCATTCTTAGCACTAACTTGTCAGATACATGCCCAGAGACTTAGTAGCATTAAGCAAATAGCGCTTATAAATTAAAACTTGCTTTTAATTAATGAGAGTCAGACCATAATTTATGAACAATTATTTATTCAATAAAGTTAATTACAGCCCTGCATATGTGACCGAAGCTGTAATACTAATCAAATCCCTCCTGACATTTTCTGTATAACCTGTGGTAAGAATGCAAATAGGTTTGAAATGATTGCCCTTGAGAAGCAGCATACCCTAGTGGTTAAAAGCAACAGCTGGAGCTGGATTTGGGGCTGAAACCTGGCTATGACACAGTAGCTGTGTGCTCTTAGTCTAATTACTTAATTTCTGTAGGTTTCAGTTTCCTCATCTGTAGAATGGGGGTAATAATAGTTACCTACCTTATATGATTATGAAAAATAAAGCAGTTAATATACAAAATGCTTATTAGAATAAACAGAATATGTGTTTGCTATTATCATTACTACTTAGAACCATCTTAGCTTTAGAAAAACACTAGCATGTCTGACACACGTGCACAGGGTCAAATACTTACCACACAGCTAAAATTGGGGATTGTCGCATATTTGTAAGAGTAGGGATACAGCAACATCTGAGCATATGCATGAAAGGAGAGGTAAGCCCTAAAGTGCTTCCTGTGTTTTCGGAGGAAGTTAGCTACGGCTTTCACTTCTGGCTCGGATTCTGGGAAAGGTCCACAGTACGTATCATCACAAGGGTGCATAGATGCCCCTTCATCTGCAAGTTAGAAAAGAAAATGCAGTGGAGGAGTGGGCAGACGAGAAGCAAGAAACACAAATCAACATTGTTAAAGTGATTTTTCTTTTATTTCCATAAACATATGGTATTACTAAGCAATTCATCTAACTTCTCACTTATAGAAATCAATACTGAAAATCCAAGGTCGTTCAAGCCTCCATGCATAATAGGAGGGCAACCTGGATTGGAAATAGGTACTGATTGTTCACCTGAGCCTCATAAACCATTCTAGGATGGCTCCATCAGCTGGAGAACTCATTCTGTATGATCCCTCAGAGCAGGTAGGGCCTCCTGTTTATATAATCCACAACACCTGCTCTTTCCCTCCATAATCCTCCACGAACTTGTAATTAGTGTCAGATATTTACTCACTTAACATCCAACCAATATTTACACTGTTCTATGTGCTTGGGAAACACTGGAAAAAAACAGAGAAAAAAAAATCCCTGCTCTAATAGAAGCTACATTCAATCTGGATTCTTTATTAGACTTTAATGCTCTGTGAAGGTGGGGACTGTGTCTTTCTTGCTGGGTACCTGGCAACTAGAACAACATGTGGCGAGTGTTCAACAAATATTTGTTGAACAAGTGAACGTCAGATCAAATGAAAGAACTAGACATCTGTAAAGGTTTCTGGTAAGATACAAATATTGATATGTTGATAACGTGGAGGCAGAAGGAAATGATTCCACAGAACATGTCAAACCAACTTCTATTATATTTTTAGATCAGCGATATCGAAACTGGTTTTGTAAAACTCAAGAGGCCTCTCCAGTTATCTTGGGGGTTAGTTAGGGTTCAGTTAAGAAATCCTCAAAACTAAATTTTAATAATTTTTGATTTAAAAAATTATATCATACAGGTCTATGAAGGGGAGGAAGGACAATAAGATTCATTATATCAATCACAAAGTATTAAGGTTCCAAGAAATTTTGGAAATAATTACATTTTCTATAGTTATTTTCCAGTCTGGGCCACTATTATCATTCCCATACCCCTAGAAAGCTCTAACTCTTTCCACAGACAAATGGGCAATGTTTGGTGATTCTATGACATAGTCTAATTCTACCAAACATGAAAAGACGCAGTACCAAACCAGGCTAAATCCAGAGGACATTAAGTCTAGTTTATGCTATGAGGAGAGTCCAGATAGGGAACTTACAGCAATTGTGGTTTTCCTCCTTTGAGTCTGAGATGCCTAAGAATTAAGTGGGATATGGATGGAATTATGAACATAATATAAAAACTATAGCTGATACTCCAAAAGGAATAAGAAAAATAAAGAGACATTTGAGGAACAGTGATATAAAGTAGTGGAAAGAAGAGATCACAAACTGAATAACTAATTCCAGAGGGAACAGAACTAATGAGCCAGAGAAAACAAGAATTTGAAATAATCCTAATAAATATTCAAGGGTATATAGGAAGACATTGTAAACATTAAGCAAGGACAAGACATTTTAAAAAGAACCAATCAGATGTAACAGAAAAAACCCTTAATTCTTGGGTTGAATGAACACAATTGATGAATGAGTTAATGATATGGAGCAGGTTTTGAAACGTTCCTAAAAGGCGTGAAAAAGGGACAAAGAATTGGAAAAATGAGAGAAAAATTAAAGGGTATGAAAAATAGAATGTGTCAATATCTGCTTTATAGGGGCCCTAAAAGGAGAGGAAAAAGTACAGGAAAGTTAAATATTTGAAGAATTGCTAATTGAAATTTCCCCACAATTAAGAAAAGATTGAATGGACTTATTGTATACCAAACAAAGAAAGGGGGAAAACAACAATTTGGCAGTGAAATTTTCAAAGTAAACTTTAAGAAAAGATAATTCCAGAGTAAAAAAAGCCGGTCATCTATAAAGGAATAAGAATTAGATTCACGTCTGACTTTTCAATAGCAACACTAGAATAATAGTTCCAAAGTATTTTTTAAAAAGGAAATTTGAATCCAGCCTCTTATATCTAGCTGAACTCTCATTGAAATGTGAGAGTGAAATAAAGATGTCTTCTGCCATAAAATTCCTCAAAGTGTATACTATACAGTGACGTGATTTGAAAACACCCTTGGAGAAAGTATTCTAACAAAATGATGAATATCTCCAGAGAACTTACTTGATAGGAGAATTACAGGAGAGTTAGCAACTTAGTAGGTTCTGTTGTCAAAATAAGCAATGTCCAAAGGAAAAAAACCTGTAATGATATAGAATCAAATTCTAAAAGATGGCAAACTCATGAAAGGATAGAGGGCGGGGGACCAGTGGTGTCTTTTTCAAAGGATATATATATATGTAGTAATTAAGTCTAGAGATTGATGGCAAAAAACAAACCTAAGCATGGGTCTTAATAAATTATGAACACAAGCGTCACAACTAACAGAAGTAACTTTGACCCATCCTAATAGAAACTAGTAAAGAAGAAAAAAAAGAGAAACATTTGAAAATAGAGAACAAGAAATAAGATGGCAGAAATAAGTCTTAATGTAACAGTGATTATGAAGAATGCTGAGGTTAAACTCACCAATCAAATGACTGATATTTTCTTATAGAAAAATAAAGATCCAGCAATATTGTGTCTTCAGAAAACAAAGTGGTATGAGTGGACATATCAGATGTCTACTTTTAGTATTGTAGCAGACTTGGTGTTTGTATTAGTTTCCTAAGGCTGCCACAACAAATTATCACAAATTGAGTGGCTTAAAACAACTGAAATTTATTCTCTCACAGTTCTTGAGGCTAGAAGTCTGAAATTAAGGTGTCAGCAGCCCATCCTCCCTCTGAATGCCCCGGGGAAGAAGAATCCTTCCTTGACTGCCTAGCCTCTGGTAACTCCTGGCAAATCTTGGCATTTGGTGGTTTGTCGATGCATCACTCCAGTCTTTGCCTCCATCTTCACATGGCCATCTTCCCTGTGTGTTTCTGTGTGTGTACTCTCTTTTTCTTATAGGGACAACAGTCCTTGTATTTAGGGCACACTTTAATCCAGTATAACCTCTTCTTAACTAATTACTTCTGCAAAGACCCTATTTCCAAATAAGGTCATATTGTGAAGTTCCAGGTGGATTTGAATTTTGGGAGGATTCTATTTATCCCACCACAGTGATCTGAGGGACCAACCTTCTGCAGAACAACTCGATCCTGTATGGGATATATTCTCTGAGGCATTTTTCATCTTGCAAGAAGTAGGGGAGGCTCCAAGATACACAAATACAAGATGGACTTTAGAAATTTAATGATGTAATTGTACCCTCAGCAGTATTATCAATGAGAATATGTAGTAGAAAACAAGATATGGTTCACAATATCTAGTAATCAACCTATCAAAGAATGTATAAGACTATCAGAAATGTTAAATGTGTATACACACACACATGTTCAATTCAACAACAAAAATTCCAGCAGAAGGATTTTGGGAATATTCAACTAAAGAGCTCTAAACTTCTTCAGGGGGAAAATCTTAGGAAAGAAGAGCAAAGAAGAAGGATGGTTTAGTGCTATAAGGCATTACTACATACTACATAGGTATAGTAATAGAAACAGTATGATAGTGAGTCAAGAATAGACTAGTAGACCAATGGAACAGAATCGATGGCAATTTGGTATAATGATAGAAGGGGTCTCACAAATGACTACGGAAATGATAGAGTGTTTTAGTGGATGATGTTGAGAAAACTAGCTCATTATATAGAGAAAACAGAGTTGAATCTTTACTGCATAAATATACAAAAGTAAATGTTAAACAGTTTAAAGATTTAAATAACAAAAACAACAACACAGTAAGGAAGCAAGAACTATAAGGGTTTGGTTTTTTTGAGGTGCTTTCTCCAACCCTTTTCCTTTGTATCATCCTTCTGGATGGGCTTACAGAATGTGGGGATGGTTACTTGGTGTTCTTGAATAACAAGTTTTGTTGATGAAGATTATATGAAGGTGTGAGGGGAGGTGTAGGGAAGGACTTTGAAAATTTGACAATATATAATGAAGGTATAATGGATTAAGAATTAAGGTAAGTTTTGAAGGTTTAGAAACTAATATCAGAAAAAATAACAGGAAGGAAAAGTTTCTGGGAAAATGATGGGTGTTAGAAAATATCTTTTCCAAATTTGTTTTAAAATAAATTATTTTCAAAAAAGTAAGTATATTTTGAACATTGGTAGGGATTTTTATAGTTCTCCCATTAGTAGTAATAATCAGAATTAGAAAAATAAGTAGCTTCTCCCTGCAGGTTCTACCAGCAACAATGTGACTAGACCGCGCCTCCACCTACTACCACCACCACCTTGTTTATTGGGGCTCAGTCTATGTCAGGTTCTTGTTTAACCTTCATATCAGCCTTATGTGGTAGATAACTATTATTATCACAATTTTACCAAAAAAACAAGAAAATCTAAAGAAATCCAAGTATAGAAGATGACATAAATCAGACCGTGTGTAATAGTAAATGCAAAGGGCTTATATTTCCTAATTAACAGTTGAAGCTGAATTCAACTGAACATTTGTTGAATTCTTCTGTTGTAGACACTGTATTATGCACTAGGGATTCAAATATGACAAAGCCACAGACCCTGAGTTGAGGAATATATAGATTAACCTGGAAGACATACAGTTAAGTAATAATATCAATATAATGTGGTAAATGCTATGATATAGTTAGAAGATATTACGGAAGCAGAGAGAAGGGGCAATAAGCCTGTGTGGGTGTTCAGGAAAGGCTTTTTTAGAGGAGATAATGCCTCCTGGAAGAAAAAAATCTAGGATAATAGATATGAGTTAGAAGATTGTTTCAGGTAGAGAGAACAATATAAACGAAGGTATGAAGGCAAGAAACATTTAGCACTAAAGTTCAACATAAAATTCAAGTCAGGAAGTTTTGGTGGATAAGCCTGGAGCGGTAATTAGATGTTCATGGGACATCTTATATATTATGCAAAGGAGCTTGTAGTATCCTGTAGGCAGTAAAGAACGTCTGTGGTGGCCAAA